ATTTAGCCGCACTTGACTTATAACTAAATAGTATAACTAACATAACTTTCTTTTATACATATATGTATATATAGGTAGACATATATGTATAAAAGAAATAGAGAATAGTCTCATATATATCTTAATCTTAACTATAAGATTGTTGTTCTATAACACTCGTAACGGTAATACCATTCTACTTACTTACATACTGCTTACACAGTCAATGACAAAAAAATATCTTTCGAAATAGCTTGCACCGTGTACGAGTTCATAGCTAGATAGATTTTTAACAATCCTTTCTACTCTATCGGAAATTGCGCGGCCGCCAAGCTAATTGTATTCGCAGTTCTATCAGTTGCAATCTCACCGGTAATAGCCTTTCCTTTTTTTCTTTTTTTAACTGACAGATGTAGATTGTAGAGCCAATGTAATAGTAATAGAGAATAAATACTTTTTTAATCACTACATAGTATAAAACAAATTCGCTATCCGCCGTCTGTCTGTCCCTATGTATGCTTAGATCTTTAAAACTACGCACTGGATTTTGATGCGGTTTTTTAAATAGATAGAATGATTCTAAAGGAAGGTTTATATGTATAATACCTACATGCATATTGCATTCGTGCGAAGCCGGGGCGGCTAGTATTACATGTATGACTGCACGGTTGGTGCGGCGACTGGGCAACCGGCTGCCGCGCAACGTGTTGCGGGTTCAATTCCCACACAGAGCAACTGTTTATGTGATCCACAAATTGTTGAGAAAATAGTATGCGGCAACGTTTTATTAAAAACAAAAGAATATAAAGACAGATCGAATTTTTGCTAAACATCAGTATTTAATGAAGAATTAACGAAGACATCTACTATTTGTAAGGAATTAATTATGGCAGGGCGTGTTGGTGACGGGGCTGAGATGTTAAGGAGTTGGCAGCGTGCCTCCCTCGGCCCTAGACACGTTACTACACCACGTGACGGCGGGACAATTACTAGTAATGAGTGTACGTACTGTCTGGAGACAGTGTTAGATTCTATTTAGTTCAGTAGTGTCGAAGAGACTTGGTCAAATGTATTGTGTCGATTCTAAGAACAAAATAATTGCATTTCTACGTCTAACAGTTTTTTTTTATTCTAATGATTGTGACACGTTTTCTGGAGATAATTATTGCAATAGAAGACCATTTGACAAACGCACTGAGTGAATGTACTTAGAGATTTTTAAGTGTGGGAGAGCCATGCTTCGGCACGAATGGGCCGGCTTGACCGGAGTGATACCACGGCCTTACAGAAAACCGACGTGAAGCAACGCTTGCGTTGTGTTTTGTCGTGTGAGTGAGGTTACCGGAGGCCCAATTACCCTCCCCTTCCCCAATCTCCCCAATCCCTGAATCCCCAACGATCCTCAAACTCCTAATCCCCAAAAAGCCGGTAACGCACTTGTAACGC